TAGGTAGTGTCCAATGGGTGTGGAAGTGCTACGGATGCCAGTGAGTTTCATGCAAGTAAATGCTGGTTTGCCAAATTTAAACAACACTTCAACCTGCATAATGTGAAGCTGCAAGGTTCTAGCCATCATTCCTTGAATTCATTAAAGAAAAAGGATATGCCTCTCAACAGGTATTTAATGTAGATGAAACATGGCTCTTTTATAAGAAGATAGGCAACAGGACATATATCACCAAAGAGCAGAAGTAGCATCCGGGTTTAAGGCCTTTAAGGATAGGCTCACTTTGATTTTTTTTTTTGTGGGAAAACATTGGGTGACTTTAAATGCAAACCTATGTTAGTGTATCATTCCACAAGCCCACATGCATTAAAAGGCAAGAATAAATGACATTTGCCTGTTGTTTGGTGTTCAAATAATAAGGCTTGGGTAACTGGGATGCTATTCAATGACTGGTTGCAAAATCATTTTGTGCATGAGGTTAAAGAATACCAGGCGAAGAAGAACCTCGACTTTAAGGTTCTTTAGTTTTGCATAATGCCCCTGTCCATGATCCTGACTCACTACAATTCAGTCATCCCAATGTGGAGATAATATATTTACCTCCAATACCATATCAATACTGCAACCCATAGACCAAGGAGTAATAAAGACATTCAAGTCTTACTATACAGGGAATGTCTACCTACGTTCAACTTCAACCCAAACTATAGATTCAGGTGTTTTCGAAAACTTAACCAAGTTTGGAAAGCTTACACCATCAAGGACTGTATCGATATCACCAAAATGTCATGGGACGAGGTGAAAGAGTCTACCATACATGCATCCTGGCATCATCTTTGGACTGAAGTCGTGAACGATTTCAAAGGCTTTCCTACAGTTGAGAAGGAAGTTGCTGATGTTATGAGACTCACTAAAGAAATCGGAGATGATGGGTTTGATAATAAGAGGGATGAGAATGTGGTTGAGCTGCTGGAATCCCATTATCGAGACGAAACGAATGAAGAACTTGAAGCACTGATAGTCTCCAGTGACAGTGATGAGGATGCTGAAGAGACAGAATCTGCTAAACCCATCCTCACAGCCAATGTAACACCTTCTGACCCTATCCCATCGACTTCTACATCTGCTTCATTGGAGTTTGAGGCTGAATTTTCCAATGATACATCGGCCTTAAACTAACCTTTCAGCCTCCAAATTTATTATCATCATCATCGCAAGTCTTCCACTCTCATCAATGAAAGGTCTTCGTCTTCATCATTCATAGGTGAGTGTTACAATAAAACGCATTACTGTATAAGTGTATTATTTCATTTAAC